AACCCCCTTCCCCTCCCCCTTTTCTGATGAAGGGTCTAGGCCCGAAACGTCAGCCTCTCTGCTCCTATGATGCTGCTTGGCCTGCTGTGTTCATCCAGCCCTGCACCTTGTTGTCTCTTATGAGAAAGGCATATGGGATGCTTGCCTTTAATAGCCAGGCATAGAATATAGGAGCAACAATGTCTCACAGCAACTCTATAAAAGATTGGTCAGGCCACAGATGGAATACTGTAGGTTCCGGTCACCACATAATCAGAAGGCTGTGATGGCACTGGAGAGATTGCAGAGGAGATTCACCAGGACTTGCCTGGGAAGAAGTGTCACTGGTGTGGAAATGTTAACTCTGCTTTTTCCTCACAGACGCTGTCAAACTTGCTGAGTTTGTCCAGAAATTTAATTTTTTTGTATGTTACGTTTAATGATGTCAGCTGATTTGAATTCATGACTTTCGGGTGTCTCTATTACAAATGCACTTCTCCACCCAACTCTACTATAATTTTCCCAATGCGATTAATTTTGTTCCATATTCCTTTTCTTTTGCAATTTCTTTGCTTGGAGACCCTTTGACCTAGCTCTGTAGATTACTGTTGTTTGTGTACACAGTAAAATCCGTTTCCTGATATCAGTCTGTTAGTGATTGTCTACAGGGAAACAATTATGTATACGTATATGTTACAGACCACCCAATCCTAAAAACTCGAATATGAAGAACATTCGAGGAGGCACTGTGGTTCAGTGGTTAGCACTGCTGCCTCACAGCGCCAGGGACCCAGTTTCAATTCCAGCATCTGACAACCGTCTGTGTGGAGTTTGCACGTTCTCCTCATGTCTGCTTGGGTTTCCTCTGAGTGCTCTCGATTCCTCCCACAACATGCACGTTAGATGGATTGCCATGCTAAATTGCCTCAAGGTGTCCAGGAGTGTGAAGTCTTGGCGGATTAGCCATGGGAAATGTGGGGGGGGTAGGATGCTTTTCAGAGGGGTGGTGTGGATTCAATGGGCCAAATGGTCTGTTTCCACACTCCAAGGATTCTATGATTTCTTTTCTCCAGGAGAAGCAATTTTCATTTTAATACTATCTGTGGTTGCCTTGGTCATTTTTAATTAATTTAGATAATGCCATTTGTTTACTGTTGCACTTTGTTGCTTAGAGTCAGAGTCATACAACATGGAAACAGACCCTTTGGTCCAACCAGTCCATGCTGACCTTAATCCCAGACTAAACTAGTCCCACCTGACTTGGCCCATATCCCTCCAAATATATCGTGTTCATGTACTTACTCGATGTCTTTTAAATGTTGTAACTGTACCCACATCCTCCACTTCCTCTGGGAGTTCATTCCATACCTGCGCAAAAAAAGAAATGCCCATATGAATTTAAATCTTCCTCCTCTCATCTTAAAAGTATGCCCCCAGTCTTAAAGTCCTAAGGAAAAGACACCTGCTATTCACCTTCTGTATACCCATCATGATTTTATAAACATCTGTAAGGTCACCCCTCAATCTCTTACGCTCCAGTGAAAAAATCCCAGGCTTTGCAGCCTCTCCTTTATAATTCAAACCCTCCATTCCCAGCAACTTGCTGGTAAATCCCTTTTTGAGCCCTCTTCAGTTTAATAATAAACTTCCTATATATAGGGCGAACAGAACTGGACACAAGATTCCAGAAGAAGCCTTACCAATGTCTTGTACAATCTTAACATCATCTTTATAACTCCAATAGTTACAGGCAATGAAGGCAAGCATGCTAAATACCTTCTTAACCACCCTATCTATATGATACGCATCTTTCAAAGAATTATGTACCTTAACCCAGGGATGGATGCACAATTGGCTTGATGGTAGGAAGCAGAAAGTAATAGTGGAAGGATGTTTGTCAGGCTGCAGGCCTCTGATGAGAGGTGTACCTCTGGGTGCTGGGCCCACTGCTGTTTATTGTCTATATCAATAATTTGGATGAGAATGTACAAGGCATGTTTAGTCGTTTGCGGATGACACTAAAATAGGCGGTATCATGGACAGTGAGGAAGATTATCAGAAATTGGAGCAGATCTTGATCAGCTGGGGAAGTGGGCTGAGAAGTGGCAATTGGAGTTTAATAGCAAAAATGTGTGAGGTGTTGCATTTTGGAAAGTCAGATCAAGGTAGGCGTTTCATGGTGAATGGTAGGGCCTTAAGGAGTGTAATGGAACAGAGGGACCTTGGAGTTTAAGTGCACGATTCTCTGAAAGTGGGGTCACAGGCAGACAGGGCAGTGAAGAAGGCACACTGGCCTTGATTAGTCAGGGCATTGAGTACAGAAATTGGCAAGTTATGTTGCAGTTCTAGAGGACATTGGTGAGGCTGGTGGTGGAGTATTGTGTTCAGTTTTGGTCAGCTTGTTATGGGAAGAATGTTATTAAACTGAAAAGAGTGCAGCAGAAATTTACAAGAATGTTGTCAGGACTCAAGGGACTGAGTTATAGGTAGAGGTTGGACAAGCTGGGACTTTTTTCTTTTAGAGCATGGGAGACTGAGGGGGGATCTTTCAAAGGGTATAAGACCATGAGAGGCATGGATAGAGTGAATGCACTCAGTCTTTTTCCTAGGGTTGGGGAATCGAGGACTAGAGGGCATCAGATTGCGATAAGAGGGGAAAGATTACATGGGAACCTGAGGGGCAACTTTTTAACAGAGTGGTATGCATATGGGTTGAGCTCCCAGCAGAAGTAGTTGAGGCAGATACGTTAACAATACTTAAAAGGCTTTTGGACAAATACATGGATAGGAAGGGTTTAGAAAGATATGGGCCAAGTACAAGGAAATGGGATTAACATTGATGCACATTTTGGTCGGCATGGACCCAGTTGGGCTGAAAGGCCTCTCCATTCTGTAGGACTCTATGAACCCCTGCACCTCAGGTCCCTTTTAAATCTTAAAAAAAAAAACAAAAGAACTGCAGATGCTTTAAATCGAGAAAAACAAAAGTTTCTGGAAAAGCTCAGCAGGTCTGGCAGCATCTGTGAAGAAAAATCAGAGTTAACGTTTTGGGTCCAGTGACCCCCCTTCAGAACCCGAGTTTGGCTCTGGTCCGGTGACTCTTCCCAGAACTCAGGTTCTGAGGAAGGGTCACCGGACCCAAAGCGTTAGCTCTGATTTTTCTTCACAGATGCAGTTAGGCCTGCTGAGCTTCTCCAGAAACTTCTGTTTTTGATCCTTTTAAATTTTTCTCCTCTCATCGTAAACTTATGCCGTCTATTCATTGTAGAGCATCCTGTAAAAAGACACACAACTTGTCATTAAAGGCCCGTTAGAGCAACACTCTCTCAAGTGATTTTACATCTTGCAGTTGTGCAAATGCGAGCAGAGACTCATTTGGAAAATGAATTAGTTTTTGTTTTGTACTGAAACTTGGACATATATTTTACTTAAGTTTCATTTGGATCAAAATAACATGGAGCAATATTAACTGTTCCATTTTGTCTGTTTGATAGGTCATGGTGATAGCAATAGCCGGAACATCCCAACTTTGGTAAAGGATATTAGCAATGTAGGAGAAGTTTCTTGTGGAAGCTCGCATACTATTGCATTATCAAAAGATGGAAGAACAGCATGGTCCTTTGGAGGAGGTGACAATGGTAAGTAATGCCTTATGCCGTGGCGATGCTCTTCTGTTTTTGACAGGTGATTTTTAATTTTCGTAGTTCTTTCTAAAAATTTTATTTCCTTCCCCTTTTGAAATAGGTTGTGTTGTGTTTCCCCAATCCCTCTTTGCGAAGTCAAATTTTTGAATGACCCACAAAGTATTTTTGGAGTTAAAATAAAAAGAAAGATTATTCAAGCTAGCGCTGGCTAGTGAAGACCCAAAAACAGCTAGGGAGGCCTTGGGTTTTTTAAGGTTGGAATAATAGAATCAACCTGGATAGGTGTGGCCAGCTCTCACAGACAAGGACTTCTGGTGTTTTTTTAGGTTTACCTTCAATCAGTTGCTGTTGGAGTCTCAGCAGGGCTGGAGTTTTGAAGTAGTAGAAGCTATCTCTTTCCCACTCTTGGTTTCAGCTGGTGTTCTTCTCTGCTGCTGGGTTACCTGTGAGACAAATCTGTTTTTCTGAATTTGCCTTTTTGTCAAAGGATGTTTATGGGATGCTATGAGATTGGAACAGTTAATTAGTGATAGTTACTGTTTCTATTATTCGGTTAAGTTTTCCAGTAGAACTAAGTTATTCTAAGTTCTTCTTTCTTTTGTAGTATTTAACTGTTGTGTTCAAATATATTATGTTTTGCTTAACGTTGAGAAGTTTGACCAGTCAAATTGCATCTGGAAGACAACATTGCATTTGCCTTCAAAATAAGACAAAATTAGGGCCTAGGCTACCTTCTTAGAATATTTTGAAGGGGTCTGGTCTGGTCCATAACAGTGTAGACTGAAATTTCAGGGACAATAGAGGATTATTGTTGGAGATGAGCCGCACTAAAACGCAAGGCACGCTTCAGCTAAGCCTGGAGCTGCTTGTCTGCCCTGATGTTAAAAAGCAGTCTGAGAACAGAGTTCGGTTTAAAACCAGAAGTTTCAGTCATGTGACCAAATTCCTGAGTGGTACAATTCAACCTAGCAAAATGGTTTTGAAGTCACCTGTCAAAACCTTTGTGATGTAGAAAATAACTGTGTGACTGTTCACAACACTTCAACCTTAATACATTTAGAAAGTTTCTTTTCAGAAATGGAGGACCTTGAAACATTGTTGATTATTCCTTTGGGTATTACTGCAAAGTTCTTCAAAATGATATTCAAGATGTCACATTCCAGAGGACTGATGAGTTACCTTTTATCCTGGTGAATGCTGTAAATTTCTAGAATCGGCCAACTTGTCCTTTATGCAGTCAATAACAGCCATTTTAAATCCAACAAATCCAAAATTAAACTTTGTATGCACATGCGTACAGCACAGAAGCGAGCCAATCAGACCAAAAGGTATTTATAGTCTTGGCAAATCACCTCATCTAATCTTGTCAACATATCCAAGATGAAAGAATAGAAAGTTGTGTTTTCCCCTTGAATGCCCTCATGGCATTTGACTCCATTGTGATAGGGTTTAGACATTCTAGCTACTCTTTGGTTAAAGACTATCCACCTAACTTTCTGATTCTTTATTCATGACTATTTTATGACCCCAGTTATGCTCTTATCCATATGGAAAAGTACTTCTTCCACACTATTCTACACTTCTATAATCTTGAAAACTCTTATCAGAACAATCCTCAGTGTTCTCTTGTTCTAGAGGAATTCAGTTCTGAAGAAGTCATGCCAGACTCAAACCATTAATTCTCTATTTCTTAATAGATGCTGCCAGACCAGCCGAGTTTCCCCAAACATTGTTTTCCAGTTCAGTCCTTCAAGATAGTAACGCCACTATTGGCAACTGCAACACTACTTTTTAAGAAAGGAAGGAGAATGAAGTGGGGTAAACTACAGATCTGTTAACCTGATCTCATTAATTGGGAAAAAATTAGTATCTATTTTAAAGGATATGACAACGGGATAATTGGAAAATAATAAGAATAAGCAGTGTTATTGTAGAATTATGTAAGTGAAATCATGTTTAACAAGCCTGTCAGGAGTTTTATGAGGATATAACTAATAGAGTAGATAACAGGAAGCCAATAGTTAAAATATATAATGATTTTCAGAATGCTTTCAATAATGTCCCATTACAACACAATAGGTTTAGATTACACCCTAAGGGATTAAGTGTAATTCTGGCATTGATTGAGATTTGGTTAATGGACAGAAATGGAGAGTCAGGAATAAACGGACTGTTGTCTGATTGGTAGGCTGTGACTGTCGGGTTTACGTAAGAATCAGTGTTTGAGCTCTAGGTATTTGCAACCTACATTCCTACTTGGATGTAGGGGCCAAACATAATATTTCCAGAACTTTTCGTAGCATGGAATTAGATGTGAATGTAAATGAAAATAAGATGCAAAAAAAGCTGAGTGAGCAAGGATACAGCAGATGCAGCACAATGTGGGAAAAACATGGAGTTGTAACAATTTCATAGATTCATAGAATCCCTACAGTGTGGAAACAGGCCCTTTGGCCCAACAAGTCCACGCTGACCCTTGGAGCATCCCACCTAAGCTTCACATCCCTGAACACTACGGGCAGTTTAGCATGGCCAATCCACCTAGCTTGCACATCTTTGGACTGTGGGGGAAACCGGAGCACCCGGAGGAAACCCATGCAGACATGGGGAGAATGTGCAAACTCCACACAGACAGACGCCCGAGGGTGGAATTGAACCCGGGTCCCTGGCGCTGTGCAGCAGCAGTGCTAACCATTGAGCCATCGTGCTGCCCCAAAAGGAAAGGTTTAGAAGGTAAAGCAGAGTATTTCTTAAATGATAAGTGATTGGGGAAATTTTGATGTCCAAAGGGACTTTGGCCTTGTTTATAATTTACAAAAAGCTTACTAGCAGATGCAGCAGGCAATTAGAAAAGCTGATTAGAGCCTTGCATAAAACTTGGAATATTGTCTGCAGTTTTGGTTTCCTGAACTAAAGAAGAATGCCTGCCACAGAGGCTTTGCACCAAAGGCTTATCCAGACTGATTCCGGAGTAGGAGGATTATCTTGTGAGGAAATATTGAGGAGACTGGTCCTATGTTCTCAAGAGGTTTGAAGAATGAGGGATCTCATTAAACAGTGCAGGACATGATAGGATAGATTCAGAAAGAATGTTTGCCCTGCCTCTGAGGCATCGAACTGGGAGACAGAAAAAAAGTTAGACTGTTTAGGACTGAGTTGATAAGGAATTTCTTCACTCAGAGGGTGGTGAATCTTCAAAACTTTTTGTCCCGGGGCATTGTGAGGGCTGAATCATTGAGTACATTCAAGCCAGAAATCAGTAGATTTCCAGGCACGACATGCATCAGTGCATTTATGGACATAGTGAGCAAAAATAAAATTGCACTAGAAGATCAGCGGTGATCAAATTGAATGGCAGTATTCACTAAGTTTCTTTAATTTCTCAGTTCGGTCATCTTTTTTAATAGATTTTTGTGCTGTTTCTCCAGTACATGTATTCTTTTTATAATATGAAGATGATAATTTTGCTTCAGGTAACCAGACCAAAATTTCTATACAAATTTAACATAAATTTTGTGCTTTTCAATCCTGTCCCTCTAGAAATTAACCTCAATTTTTTTTCTTTTTGTCATATTCATTTGTATTCCTTCTTTCAGTGAAATGCATATCTGTATCACCAGGCTGCTTTCCAAGGAGTGGGGACCTTATTCTTGCTACCAAATTGTATTAACCTCACTTTTTGAAGTTTATTTTTCCAATTACTTGTCTATTTTTCAAGGCTGTGATAAAATACAAGAAGATAATTGCAGTTCTGCATATTTACAGTAGTCCTCCCAATTTTATTTTGTTATCTACAAATTTTAGAATTTTGCTCCTCCCTGACCCCAAGTCCAAATCTTGTATATAAATGGTGAAGAGCGGTTGTCCAATAATTCCAATAATTATGAATCTGAATAGCTAAGTTGTAATTCCTACCCTCTTTTCTGTGGTGTAGCCAGCTTGTTGATTATTCTACTACTTGTTCACTGATTCCATAAATTCAAACCAGTGTGACATTGTTTGATTTCGTGGTTTGGGTAGTTTTTGTTGCCATATCATCTCATGGATTCTCATGTAACTAGCTATAATGCTCAGTACTCTAAGTTAATTTGACAGTTTTGTTTTGGATAATAGGAGCTAATATATTCTATTCATTCTGCTAGGTAAACTCGGTCATGGTGACACAAACAGAGTTTATAAACCCAAAGTTATTGAAGCCTTACAAGGGATGTTTATCCGTAAAGTATGTGCTGGGAGTCAATCTTCACTTGCTTTGACGTCAACAGGACAGGTCAGTTAAACTGCAAAAGCATTTTTATGGCATAGAGTATTCTTTTGCTTGTTGTAAGATTAAGTAATTGATGAATACTTGATGTAGCTGGAATGACCCATATGTTAGGAATTTTTTCAAAATGTCTAATTGATGTGTACAACATTGACTAAGCAGTGTTGATGACCCAGCTTTACTTGCTCAATTATGATAACGTAGGCAATGAGGGTCTCATCTGCTGGCTGAAGAGCTGACAAGAGTCTCTGATGGCCTTTTCTTTGTCTCTTTTTTTCGGCATGTCTGCTACAATCAGGCACTTACCAGGACACAGATAGGCCTGGCCTGGGGTCAAGGAGTCAGAAGATGGAAGTCCTAACTAATGAGAGCTGCCAGACTGTCCCAAAGGCATTAGTCTGGGTTTCTGGATTACGTGTCCAGTGATATTACCATTGTGCCTAAGTTTCTCCTTGATTTTTATTTTGTTTTATCATGTTCCTGTGAAGTGCTTTGGAATATTTTATGATAGAAAAGATGCTTGAGAAATATAACAGAATTTATTGTTGGTCCTCATTAACTACAGTATTGCCATATAATAGAATATCAGGAATTTAAAAGTCCTTTGCATCCTATAATTTTGAAAAAAAAACACATAGCATGAATTTGATACCACAAATTTATTTTGAATTAATTTGGTCATCTTTTGATATTTGCTGTATTTTAACTGTAGGTATACGCTTGGGGCTGTGGTGCCTGTCTTGGCTGTGGATCATCAGAAGCTACAGCTTTGAGACCCAAACTTATTGAAGAACTGGCTACTACTAGAGTAGTTGACCTCTCCATAGGTGACAGCCACTGTTTGGCTCTTTCACATGGTAAGAAGCATTCTAAGACAATGTGTGCATTGCAGAAATGACTGCGTATTCTAGTGTATTAGACAGCTTGTGAGATGAATGTAATGATCTATCCTGGTAGTGGCACACTACAAAACATTACAAGGCTTGATAATTGGAACTACTTGATTCTAACCAATCATTTTGTAGCCAAGTATAAAAACCTTGTTTGGTTATTGGAATCTTTCTGATTAGAAAGCTGTAAATTATATCTGTACTCTGAATAGTACATGACTTTATTAGTGAATGTTTAATTTTCAGTTTATTCATAGCTTTAATACCTGTGCCAACTGTAAATAAGGCTATTCTGCAATGAGGAGCAGGGATGCATTAATTCTACCAACACAAAGTTCAATGTTTAAAACATTACGTTTTGCACTTGTAACTTTGATTTTCTGTGGATTATTTACTGTGGCTTTGCTGTATAAAACTTCAGTAAGGCCACATTTGGAATTTTGTGTAGTGGAGTTCCAGTAACCATGCTAACAGGAAGGATATGGAGGTGGGGTTGGGAGGGAGAGTGTGCGCGGGAGGGAGAGCGGGCACATGCATGGGCGGTGGAGGCAGAGGAGGGAGAGCGGGCGGTGGAGGCAGAAGAGGGGGAGAGTCAGTTTGTGTATGAGAGAGGATCTGTGTGGTGGGAGTTGTGTGTGCGCGCGATAATGTGTAGTGTGGTGGTGTCATCTGGAGTGCGACACGATCCTAAGATTCTGGTTAAGACGGTCCTTATGTGTATCGAATTTGGTTAACAGCCTTTGCTTGGCGACTGTTGTTGTGTATCCTGAAGATCCAAGACCAAATGTCCTTGACCGCTGAAGTGTTCCCTCACTAGGGACCGCCCCTGTCTGGCAATTGTTTGTTGGTGTCCATTCATCCATGTCGTAGCATCTGTGCGGTTTCGCCAATATACCATGCCTCGGGCCATCCTTGCCTGCAGCATATGAGATAGACAACGTTGGCGCTGTCTTATAACTAACTCCTTTGCACGTGGTTGGTGGATTCCCCACGCCTGATGGTAGTGTCCATGTTGAAGATCTGACATGTCTTGCAGAGCTTACAAGGACAGGATTGTATAGTATTGTGGTCAGTGTTGTCCTGAAGGCTGGGTAGTTTTCTGCGAACAATGGTCTGTTCAAAGTTTGGTGGTTGTTTGAAGGTGAGAAGGTTAGTAATGAAAGTTGGGTCGCATGGGACCCAGGGAGGGATAGCTAATTGGATTCAAAATTGTCTCGATGGTAGGAAGCAGTGGGTAATGGTTGAAGGTTGTTTCTCTGACTGGAGGCCTGTGACTTGCAGTGTGCCACAGGAGTCACTGCTGAGACCTTTTGTTATTTGTTATTTACATAAATGGTTGTAAATGTACAAGGCATGGTTAGTACGTTTGTGGATGATACAAGATTAGGCGCTATTGTTGTTAGTGAAGAGGGTTATTGATAAAATGGGGTGTAGATAGGATGAATGCATATAGTCTTTTGCCCAGGGATGAGGAATTGAAAATGAGAGGACATAGGGTTTAAGGGGAGAAAGGAACGATTTAAGAAGGACCTGAGGGGCAACTTCTTCACACAGAGAATGGTGCGTCATATGGAATGGACTGCCAGAGAAAGTGGTTGAGGCAGGTACAATAGCAACATTTAAAGACATTTTAATAGGTACATGAATGAGAAGGGTTTAGTGGGATGTGGATGAAATGCATGCAATTGGAACTAGCTGAGTGGGCACCATAGTTTGCATGGACTAGTTTGGGCCAAAAGGCCTGTTCCCATGCTGTATTACTCTGACTGTATTGGAGGTGAGGGGAAGATCTTGGTGAGGTGCTCATCGTCATCGATAATGTGTTGAAGGCTGTGAAGAACTTGGCACAGTTTCTCCACTTGGGAGAAGTACTGGACTATGAAGGGTACCCTATCAGACGTATCCTGTGTCTACCTTCTGAGGAGGCCATTACGGTTTTTCGCTGTGGCATGTCAGAACTGGTGATTAATGAATTGAGATCATCAAACCTGTGAGGGCATCCTTCAACACCTTCAAATGTCTGGCTCATTCCTCCTCATCCAAACAGATCCTGTGTATGTGTAGGGCTTGTTGATAGGGGATGGCTGTTGTATTATGTTTAGGGTGGAAGCTAGAGAAGTGCAGCATTGTGAGGCTATCCGTAGGCTTGCAGTACAGTGAGATGCTGAGGTGTCTGTCTGTGATGGAGATGCGTGTGAGACTGATTCTAAAGAGTAGTCCATGGTAAGTCTGGTTGAATGAAATTTGTTGATATCACTATGTCATTGTTTCAGTGATACCTCGCCATGAGTACAAAAGAAGAAAATGTCATCAGTGTATCTACTGCATTGCGTTGGTCATAGGTTCAATGCAGGAAAGAAGTGTTGTTCGAACCTGTGGCAGAATGGGGAGCAAAATGGCATTGTATAAATTGCTACTTCAGAAGGAGAACCAGTCTGACTCCAAACAAAAACTTATAGATTCTAAACAAGGCCTCACACGTAACATGCATTGTCTGACCTAAAATGTTACCTCCTCTTTACGTGGATAAAACCTTTAGTTCTCTCAGGACAGTGACTTGAAAGGAATTCGGGGATTTATGTATACATATAAATAAATTAAAACCTTCTAATTAATTAAAGATTTAACAGTATCTTGGGTTTGTTTAATACATCCTCATCAGTGGTGTGACCCTTTGATCTTTTACTGATAAATTCTGTGCCTGATACTAGCTCTCTCACTAACACTTGAAGGAGTGATGCTCTGAAAGCTTGTGTTTTCAAATAAACCTGTTGCACTATAACCTGGCGTCATGTGATTTCTGACCTTGTCCACCTCAGTCCAACACCGCACCTCAACATCATCTTTTCTTTAAGGAGAGAATGCTGAGGGGGACATGATTGAGGTGTATAAGGTTGAGGGGTATGGACAGAGTGAGTAGGGATCAGCTGCTCTCCTTGGTTGAGGGTTCAATCACACAGTGGCATAGTAAGGGGCAGGAGATTCAGAGGTGATTTGAGAAGACCTGTTTTCACGTAGAAAGTGGTGGGAACCTGGAATGGGAGTGTAGTGGAGGCCGAAAACCTTCCAACATTTAAAAAATGTTTGGATTTGCATTTGAAATACCATAACATTCGGAATATGGGGCAAGTGCAGGAAATTGGGAGTAGCGTGCTTTAGTGGTAGTTATTGTCGGCACAGCCTTGATGGGCTGAAGGGCCTTTACTGTGCTGTATGGCTCTGACTCTAAGAGTCCTTCTCTCAGGGCTAATATTTATTTTGACCTGTTTCTTTTATATATTTAAAGAAATTCTTGCTGTTGGTTTCTGTACTACTGGCTAGTTTACCCTTTGTAGTTTTCCGCCTCTTCATTATTTTCTGGTCATCTTTTGTTGTCTTTTAATTTTTTGTTCTAATCTTTTGGGTTACCAGTAATCTGGCTGTATAGCATCAAATCAAAATAGAAAAAAAATTCATTATTTTTAACTTGCTTAACCAGCGTTGGTTAATTCCTTGATAGAATCCTTCTTCCTCAATGGGATATGTCTTTGCTAGAAATCTTGAATTTTTACTTGAACGTCTGCCATTGCTCTCAACTCCTAGACCCTCCAGCCAACTTTGCTCTCCTCTTGATGTAATTACCCTCATTTAAGTCTAATACCGTTGTTCCTGTCCCAAGTTACTCAATTTCAAACTAACTTCTACCATGTTATGGTTACTGTTCCCTAGGGTAATGTTTTTCTCTGTGATCCTTGGTAGAATCCCTATTAATGGATTCACAGCATATTGTTTGAAGAAACTTTTCCAAATATACTCTGAATTCTTCCTCATGGCTACCTCCACCAATTTGATATGTGCCAATCTACAAGAAAATTAAAGTTACTTCCAATTCAATGTGCTGTCTTTTTTTATATCCTCTCATTAACTCCTATTGTATTCTGTGCCCTACAAGTTACCATTTGGGGTACTTTAGATTACTCCCACCAGTGTTTTATTCCCATTGTTATTTCTTTCTGCCAGTATGCGTTCAAAATCATCTGTTCCAAGATAATTCAGAGATAATAAGAACTGCCAATGCTGGAGTCAGAAATAACAGTGTGGAGCTGGAGGGACACAGCCGGTCAGGCCGCATCAGAGAAGCAGGAAAGCTGATGTTTTCGGTTGGGACCCTTCTTCAGAAATGTCCCTCTGATGCTGCCTGACCTGCTGTGCTCCTCCAACTCCACACTGTTTATCTCTTGTTCCAAGATCATTTCTTGTTTTCGTAATTATCCATCTCTAACTAACAAAGCTACCCCACTGCCGTTTATATCATATAGGAGCATATTACTGCGGACGGTGGAATCTGAACTGAAATCAAAAAATGCTGGAGATGACAGTGGGTCAGGCAGAGAAAGCAAGCTAATGTTTAGAGTCTCGACACTCTCCATGGATGTTACCTGACCTCCTGTGATCTGTAGCATTTTTTATTTTCAGCCCTTTCCATCATGTTTGTCCTTTTGTAAAGTCGCATACCCCTGAATGTTTCATTCCTGATTTTGCATCTCCTGTAACCATGTCTCCGTAATAGCTATAAGATCTTACCTCCTCCATTAATCTCTATTTGGGGCAACAATTCACTTGTGTTCTGATTAGTACGCAGATTTAAACAAAGACCCATTCATTTTGCATTTTTGCTGTTTTTCTCCCTCTTGACTCTGTTGCTTTTTTTTAATGCTTGTACAACCTGTCCCTGCCTGTCCCACTCTGGGTTTTGTTACCTAACTAGGTGACCTGCAATGCTGCCATATCCTTTTGCTATATAAACCTGTGTTTACCCTTTCTTTCACTTGTCATTTTCTGCTTTGCAAAGCCTTTGGTATCCTTCAATTAGGAAATATGCTCGACAGAAGCCTAGTGATATTGTCACTGGACCTGTAATCTGGACCTTGAGTCTAATGGCCTGAGGACATGCATTTGAAACCGTGATAGCAAATGGAGAAATGTAAAATCAATTAAAATTGTCTGGAATTAGAAACTCTAGTCTAATCGTGACCATGCAACCACTTTTTATTATTGTAAAAGCCTATCTGGTTCAGTAAAGTCATTCACCTGGCCTGGCCTACATCTGACTCCAGACCCATAGCAATTTGGTTGACTCTTAATTGCCCTCTGGCAATTTGGGATGACAATAAATATCAGCTTAGCCAGTGACATCTAGATTGCATGAACTTATTTTTCAAAAAAATACACCTTGCTTTTTTTTTTGCTTTGAATTCTTAGATTGACATCTTTCTAATTTGCTGAATGATGCTGTTTGAAAATGAAAACTTTTGATTTAGATGCAATGTATTATCTGTGATTTCTTATTTTAATGTTAGATAATGAGGTGTATGCTTGGGGCAATAATTCTATGGGACAGTGTGGTCAAGGAAATTCAACTGGTCCAATCACGAAACCTAAAAAAGTGATTGCTTTGGATGGAGTAGCATGTCAGCAGATTTCTGCTGGAACTTCCCACAGCTTGGCTTGGACAGCATTACCCAGAGACAGGTTAGAAAATGTAACAACAATTTCCTTAACAGTATTTTGGACAAATTGCTATTTGGACACAATGTTCAGCACTCCCTCTGTTTTGTTATGACAGACAAGTTGTGGCTTGGCACAGACCTTACTGTGTTGATTTAGAAGAAAGCACTTTTTCTCACCTTCGATCATTTCTTGAATGGTACTGTGATGGAATCAACAACGAAGTTCCACCACTCCCTTTCCCTTCATCCAGGTACGATTGGCTGTTACGTGGTTTGGTGAGTTTATTGACTAGTTAATGTGTTCAGATTTAGTGCCTTCACTTTAAAGCAAATGTGTTAACCAATACACTTTCAAACCAAACCATTAAATAACTGACTAATATCTTGGTAATCTTGAATTTGGGAAGTACAACAATATTTGGATTTGTTTTTGGTGTTAATATCAAAGTATTTAAACTGTTGAGTCTGAAAGATTGTTTAAACGCGTAGGTCTACGTTTCACAATTAAGTAGTGATTGTTTGGATACCATTTGATATTTTCAAGCTGCATTGATATTATAAATTTTTACATTCACCGAATATCTTTTCTGGAATTCCAGGTTTAAGTCAAACTTATTTTAACTATTTTTAAAAATAGGGAGCATCACAATTTTCTTAAGCTTTGTCTCAAGCTGCTGTCTAATCATCTGGCACTGGCTGTAGCTGGCGGTGTGGCCACCAGTATCCTTGGGAAACAGGCCAGGCCACTGCGAAATCTATTATTCAGATTAATGGACTCATCTGTACCAGATGAAATCCAAGAGGTGAGTTATTTCATAAGTTTTTCTGTACTTGAATTGCTGTTGATCTTAATTATAGCACTGTTGAGATATTTGGTTTTGGTGCAGAGGCTTAATCTCAGTATGGGCCCCTTCCCTCTGAGAGATGATGGATATGTGGCAAATTCATTGACGAATGTGTACCAGTCTATGTAAGGCAAGTTCAGCCAGATGTACTGCATTATTAGATGGTTGTTAAGTGTTGTAGGTCATTGTTTTCAAGGTTGATACCTGTTGTCAAGCTGCTGTCATCACTGATACCGTGCACAATGGCACAAATGTAATATCACCATTTCCCCTTGCTGCTGGCTAATACTTCCCATGTTTCTTGTCTCTGGTCTTCATGTTGTGTTTGCAAGAAATCTTCATGTGGAGCTTTGAGGCAGCCTGTCTTCTGGTTCCAGTTAGATTATATTCATAGATTAGTACGGCACAGAAAAGGCCCTTTGGCCCATTAAGTCTGCACCAACATAACTACAGCTAAACATGCGCTAATCCCAATTTCTTGCATTTGTCCCATATCCCAATATTTCAAATGCTCATCCGATATTTTTTGAAGGTTCTAAGGTTTCCAGCCTTCACAACATTCCCAGGTTCCTGCATTCCAGATTCCCGCTACCCTCTGAGTGAAAACGTTTCTTTCTTCAAACCCCTTCTCAATGTCCTGCCCCTTAGCCTAAAACTATGCCCCTTCGTGAATGACCCCTTAACTAAGAGGAACAGCTGTCCTTTACTCGTCCTGTCAATACCCCTCATAATTTTGTACACTTCAATCAGCCTTCTCTGCTGTAAAGAAAATAATCCAAGCCTATCTAGTCTCTCCTTAAGGCTCAATTGGTCCATCCCAGGGAACTTACTGGTGAAACTCCTTTGTATCTCCTTGTAGTGTTATCACCTTCTTCCTGCAGTGAAGTGACCAGAACTGCCAATACTCCCAGCTGTGCCCTGACCAACTCTCTGTATACCTCCAGCACTACCTCCTTACACTTATACTCTATGCCATGACTGATGAGCATGTGCCATCACTTTCCTGTTAGCGTGCTCTGTCAACCTCTGGGATCTGTGAATAATTACCCCAAGTTCCCTCTGTACCTCTAAGCTACCCAGTGTCTTGCCATTCATTAAATACTCCCTCATCTTGTTTCTTATTCCAAATTGAATCACCTCGCATACAGGAGGATTAAATACCATATGCCACTGATCTGCCCATCTGACCAAGCCATCTTTAAGGTTTTGGAGTAGATTTGTAACTCGGTTGTGGGTGTTGAGGTTGGTTGGCTTGCCGAGTTGGTTTGTTTGTTCCGCAGACGTTTCATTACCCTGCTGGGTAACAACATCAGTGCAGCCTCTGATGAAGCGTCGGTGTGTTTGGGGAAATGGAGAACTCCAAACGAAAGTACACAGAAAAGCCACACACACGGACCAAGTACTGAACTTCAACAGTAACCATCCCCCCCACACACAAACGAAGCTGCGTGTGAACACTATTTAAACAGGCGACAACACACTGCAGCAACACAACTACGCAAAGAGGAAGAAGAATACCTCTTCCAGGTTTTCAAGGATGATGGATATCCAAAAAACTGGGTCAGAAGATGCCTACACGAACAACATCAGGAAGATACTAAAAGCCCCAACACACTCATCACGCTACCCTACATCAGGAACACTTCGGAACTAACCACGAGACTCCTATGACCGCTGGGCATCAGAGTGGCACACAAGCCCACATCCAACCCTATGACAACTGCTCACCCGAACTAAAGACCCACTTCCCGCCATGGACAGGACCAATGTCATCTACAAGATGCTCTGCAGAGACTGAGAAACACTACATCGGACAAACAGGAAGGAAACTAACAACAACGGTACACGAACACCAACTGGCTACAAAAAGATACGACCAATACGTGCTCATCTCAATCCACATGGATAAGGAGAACCACCAATTTGACTGGGATAACACCAAAATCCTGGGACAAGCTAAGCAGAGACAGGCATGGGAATACCTAGAAGCCTGCTACTCCATGAAGAAAGCCATCAATAAACAGAGAACTCGACCCCATATACACTCCACTACGAAGGAAAACCGAAAGTGAGGCAATCCAGCTCAACGGACTCCAGAGTTTAAAAACCAGGTGGGAAAACACACCGACACTTCTTCAGAGGCTGCACTGATGATGTTACCCAGCAGAGTAATGAAACGTCTGCGGAACAACAAACCAGCTCAGCAAGCCAACCAACCTCGACCATCTATATCTTCCTGTAACCTACAACCATCATCTTCACTATTAACCACTCTACCAATCATGGCGTCATCTACAAATTTGCTTAACATTCCCGTCACATTTCATCTATATCATTTCTGCCTATAACAAACAATTAAGGTCCCTGGACTGATCGTTGTGGTGTACCTCTGGACACCAGCCTCCTACCACTACGCTTTGTAACCTATTACTAAGCCAGTTTCTGAACCATCTCGCCAAATTTCCCTCAATTCTATGTGCTTTAACTTCTCAATCAGTCTCCCATGTAGAACCTTGCCAAAAGCTTTGCTAAAATCCAGGTAAACTACATCAACTGAACTTCCCATACACACAATCACCTTTTCAAAAAATTCTAACAAATTTGTTAGGCATGCATGCCCTGCTTCTGGCAAAGCCATGCTGACTATCCCTAATAAACCCATACCTTTCCGAATGGGTATTAATTTTCTCCTCCAGAATTTTCTCTAATAGTTTCCATACCTGTGACTTGAGACTCACTGCTTTGGAATGCATTCATCTTTCATCGTGCAAATGTGACTGAGCCAGCAAAGTTGCCACTGTTGACTGCTTGTATACTTGGGAGATCTGCCCGTGAGAAGACTGTCACATTGAAGATTTTTGTCCCTCCATGAGATGCCAAAAATATGTCATTAAAATTGAGTATCAAAACTTGAGCTTCCTTTCTTTTTATGGCTGTAAGCTGTCCATTCTTAGAATCATAGAATCCCAACAGTGTGGAAGCAAGCCATTCATCTATTGAGTCCACACTGACTCTCCAAACAGCATCCCACCCAGACCAACCCTCTACCTTATCTATGTAACCCTGCATTTTCCATGGCCAATCCACTTAATCTGCACATCTTTGGACTGTGGGTGAAAAATGGAGCACATTGAGGAAACCCGCGCAGACACTGGGACAATGTGCAGACAGTCGCCTGAGATTGGAATCAAACTCAGGTTCCTGGGATTGTGAGGCAGTACTGCTAACCACTGTGCTGCCCCATTGTTCACCACTGAGAATGGAGGCCTCAGAATCCTACTCAGAAGCATTCTTGTCTTGAAGATGAGCTTATTGCTTTTTCAAACATGTTTTGAGTGTGCCAGAGATGGTAACTGCTTCCAATGTTTGTGTGGTAAGTTCTTCATCAATTCAAATTGTCTGTTACCATGAGCGCAAGATATTTGCATCTGTTGATCATGTTGCAAGTAAATAAACAATTCATATAGACATGATGTGGAGGTGTGGTTGTTGGACTGGGGTGGACAAGGTCGGAAATCACACAACAGGTTATAGTCCAACAGGTTTATTTGAAAACGCAAGCTTTCGGAGCCTCACTCCCTCTAACATCTGTAGAAGGAGTGAGGCTTTGAAAGCTTGTGTTTTCAAATAAACCTGTTGGACTATAACCTGGTGTTGTGCGATTTGTGACTTCATTTAGACAGTCATCTCATTAGGTGCTTGATGCTGTTCTAAAACTTCCTGGTATAGTTGAATTAAATGCAGATCCACCATCACTTTAAATGGAAAACATCATGGATGATATAGTGAACAGCATGCAGCAAGAATAGAATTGCAGAGGATTCATTCTGTGGAATATGCATGAGGCAAACATCTTTCATATGAAAAGAACTAATGCAAGAGCTTGAAACTTCCACAGATGAATTTTGTTCTTCGACAGGCGTTCTTTGAGCATCTGCAGTTCTTGTTTTATTTAAGTGGTAGAATGGTTTCCCCGTTGTTGGGAAAACAAACATTTTTCTCACTTGCCTGGAAGGGAAGTAATCGAGTTAATAGGGGTTCAAGACCTGTTAGTATCTATTAATTGATCTATTAATATCTATTAATGACGCGGCACGGTGGCTCAGTGGTTAGCTCTGCTGCCTCACAGCAGCAGGGACCCGGGTTTGAATCCACCCCAAGGCAACTGTCTGTGTGGATTTTGCACATTCTCCCCGTGTCTGCATGGGTTTCCTCCAAGTGCTCCGGTTTCCTCCCACAGTCCAAAGATGTGCAGGTGAGGTGGATTGGCTATGCTGAATTGTCCGTAGTGTTCAGGGATATTTAGATCTGGGGTGTTATAGGGAGATGCATCTTGGATGCTCTGAAGGTCGGTGGGGACATGTTGGGCCGAAGGGCCTGTTTCTACACTGTAGGGATTCTATGATTGTTGATCTATTCTATGATTTGTAATTGAATAGTCAAGTGTCTTAATTAGTGACTGTTCAAGCAAATCGCCCCTGGAAGTTTTTGCCCAGAACTTAGAGAGGTGATGGCAAGGGGTCAGTATCTCTCTAGGCTAATCTATCCAATTACTTGCCCTTCCTCCCCACTTCTAATGAGGGAAAAAAAGTCATACTCAAGTTGTGTTTACTATGAATGATGAATAGTGCACTGCTTTTTTTTTCCATGCTGAAGGAACAACTGAATCAGCTCACATTGATGTTTCTTTCGTAGTATCATTTCAAAATTAATTTTGGAGAAAAAAGTTACCTCCTCTTAGCAATAAAACTTGTGTTGATTTTGGGGAGATTGTAAAACATAATTATTTCTTTGTATGTTTCTGTGACACTTTAAAATAGACTTGAGCTTTTTCTTGGTATTTTAGGCTGTTATAGAGACATTGTCTGTTGGTGCCACAATGTTACTTCCACCATTGCGAGAAAGAATGGAGTTGCTGCATTCGCTGCTTCCGCAGGGCCCTGATAGATGGGAAAGTTTAACTAAAGGACAAGTAAAAATTTTGTTGGATTTTGCATTGATTATTAATATTTTGATTTGAAATTTTGATTTGCATAATAAATGTCTCTGCTGGCGAAGTAAGTCATTCCTAGAAATCCATCCAGGCCCCTCATGATTTTCTTACAAGTCAAAGGCAAATTTCTCTTGTTCTTTGTTCTTTGTCTTAAACAACCCAAAGCAATTCAATCTTTCCTCATTCCCAAAGTTTTATATTCCTGTAAACGTTCTCATAAATTTCCTCTCCAGTGCACTAACACTGTACCTGCAATGTGATGAGAATTGTCTGCTGTACGTTATGTAGTGTTATTCTTTTCTGTTATATCGCAGCAAATAATAAACATCCCAAAAGTATTACTTTAATTCCATTAATCCATAGATGTACATTCCAAGGTCCTCCATTCCCCCCCACATCTCAGAATCTTTCCATGTATTGTTAATTCTCTCACCTCGGTTATTCTATCTGAACCTATTAACTTTCACTTCTCCAGCTTTGTTGCCTGCTGCAAAAAAGTTGCATGCATCTGCTCATATTTCCAGATCCCAGTGCCTTAAAGATTGTTCATTTAAATTATGTTGTGATATCCAGATGTAATGGAGAGCAATTCTAAAGGTCATTTTCAGTTAATGGATTTAAATATGACTTGCATGTCAACTTAAATTTCATATTATTTGAAGAGTAAAATGGATTTTCCTTCCTGGCTATCAGTTACTCAGGTTATTATTCCTGTATAACTGTTTTGACATTGTATTTTTGATGCTAAATATTGAATAATAACAAACTTTTATAAATTTAATGACTTTTTATACATTTATTAGCAGTTGAACCCCTTTATTTTCTCTCCGTATTAACCTGATCATGTCAGATACTTGAAACATTGAAAAAAGTTCAAATAAAATCTATAAGTGCAATTATTTTGAAGTTTATTTAAGCATGATCAAATCTTTGTCTCCTGGAATTAAAGAATATGATTACGAATGTTAAAGCATCTTAATGCATACGTTGAGACAGTCGATGCTTCCTCTCCATGGTCTCGTTAAATTGTCAGACTGTGTTTATCCAACTTCCACTATTGAATGAGTGTAAATTTGCCTCTTTCAACTTGAACTTGTCTAAAACATGTTGCCCATGTATTTACTCTCACCAGGTCCTGTGCATCAACCATCACATGCTCATTGACCTACATTTGCCTCCAGTTCAACAACATGTTGCTGTTAAAACTCTTATCCGTTTTCTCAAATGCCTCCATGATCTTTCCCCCTCCACCTGTGTAAGCTACTCCACCCCAATAATACTTGATCCAGAATTCCCATTACCCAGCTGTTGCCAATCATACCTTTTGTTGCTGAGGCCCTAAGCTCTAGAATTCCTTCCCTTAACACCTTACGTTTTGATTTCTTCATTTAAAATTCCAAAAATCAAATTCTTTCTCTTTGAACAAACTTTTGATCATTTACCCAAATGTGGATTGATGTCAAGTTTTGTTTGATAACGCTATTGTGCTGAGAAGAATCTTAAATTCATTTTTACGATAATTTATTTTACCAAATTAAAGGAGCTATATAAATGCAAGTTATTTCCAAAGAGCTGCAAACAAATAACCATATTTACTCAGATATGAACTTCTTTAGTTAATGTAGCTGTAATTTGCTGTGAGTTTTAATTTGCCCAGGCTATAACAAAAAATACACAAACTTAAAAAAATTGCTGACACAACCTTGTGACTTTTCTAGTACTAATTTGCAAAGTTTAATTGTGTAGCAGCTATGCATTGACTTAACGTAAATGTCACTTTTAATTCCAGCGGATGCAATTGGATATTATTCTTACAAGCCTACAAGACCACACCCATGTAGCTTCTTTGCTCGGCTATAGCTCTCCTCCTGATGCTGAAGCCGCCTCATCAGGACCAAATTACAGCTGCTTCCCTGATTCCTCATTCAACTCCCAATCCAGTCATCCTGATACCCATCTGGCAGAAATCTTAATGAAGACCCTACTAAGGAATTTAGGATTCTATACTGTAAGAAGCTTTCTATTTGTTGGCAACTGTTTCTCATTAAAAGTCTTAATGTGAACTATAATATCCTCAACCTGATGAGCCTTGTATTTATCTGATTTTCCTGATACACCTAACTCGAAGAATGGGTTTATTTCTAATTCTTTATTGAAGGGGAAGTCATAGCTAGTGAAACTAATCATTAGACTTAAGGTAATACCTGCAGGTAATGTGGGCTTGTTATATAGGAGTTAAGCTCCGAGCTGTATCAGTCAAATGATTTCTTGGGACGATTTATTTCTCTTAATTTGTGCAAATGTATTAAACTTTCCTGAATGTAATTTGAGGTACTTTGGATCAAAGAGCAATTGGTCCTACGACCTAATGTACTGGTCAGAAATTTGGGTTACAAAATTAAATTGGAGAAACCAGAGAATTTTTGTCAGATTAAAATGTTCTTCATTATCCATAGGAATACCTTACGTAGTGAGGCAATGTACTCCTAAATGTTCCCTGTATGTTTGTTTTTCAACAGTTGGACATTTCCCCATTTTTACGTTATGTGGTGTCATTTCATTAAAACCTTCTCAATTGTATTAAATCTAGTCTGTAATATTAAACTATTAATGCTTTAAATAGGATCAGGCGTTTGGAGAACTGGAAAAGAACAGTGACAAGCAGCTTCTGGGGACATCATCTGCGGAAAACAGCCAACCAGCTCATTTGCATGAACTACTGTGCTCCCTGCAGAAACAACTCTTGGCATATTGTCATATCAACAGTGTCAGTGAGGTATACATGTGGAGCTTTATTTGGAAAATGTAGATTTGAGATATTTGCTGCTGATTTTTATTGATGACCTTAAATTTGTTTTCCAATTTAGAGCTCCAGTAGTGTAGCTTTATTGCACAAACATCTACAGCTCTTACTACCTCATGCAACTGAAATTTACTCCCGTTCTGCAACACTGCTGAAAGAAAGCTCCTGGAATGGGAGTGTCAGAGACAAGCTTCAAGGTATTGGTTTCTTGTTTACTTTTACTTCATTTTATTATATTTCTTCTTTGTTGAAATGACAGAATACAGCCTAATTAACAATTTTGTTGCTTTTAATTTCTTCACAAAAGTTCTGTTGGTGTTTATATTTCCACGTAGGACTGCTCTCTTCTTTATCTCCACTAGTTTAGCCTTCCATTCTTTGGAATCAGTCATTCCCCACAGTAGATCCATATTTTAAACATTCTGTGAATAAAAACTTTTTTTCGAATTTCTTGCTGGATACATTAGTGACTACTTGATATTTATGGCTCTGATGCTTACCTCCCCTAAGAGTAGTAATATTATCATAATGTCTATCAGATTCTTTCATAATCTTAAACTCTCTATCAAGTCACCCTGTGGATCTACTAGAATCAATTTTTCATAGTTCTTGATAGCTATCTTCTTTGAGGTATTTACTGAATAATCCCATTAGTCAATCAGATGTTCCTTCAATCCATCAGGAAACCAATCTTGTTTTAGTTATGTACTTTTGAGTGTTACTATTAGTATCAATTCTGTATGTAATTTCTAAATATTAAATGTTTCCCATAGTTGCAGATTTCTGCATGATATCCCTCTCATTGGAGCGTTCTGATTCCTCGCAATTGCCTGTCTTTACCCACAGCTGCATACACTAGTAAATAGATTTCTTTCATATACCTTCACAGAATTGTGTTTCTTGCAGGTGTCCTATATGGATCAGCAGCAGGGAGCATGCTGTGTCAGATCATTAACTCTTTACTGCTACTGCCTGTCTCTGTGGCACGACCGTTACTAAGCCATCTACTGGATTTATTGCCATCGTTGGATCGCTTAAACCGACTTTTACCAGCTGCGGCCCATTTAGAGGAACAGGAGTTGCAGTGGCCGCTGCACGGTAAGCAGTGCGCTCAGGCACTTGGATCGTATGGAATGCTATAACTTGATCATATTGTAACCCTGAAGAATGGCAGAATGTGCTGCAGTAGAAGTTGTGATAACAAGAGATAAATGAAACAAAACAAATGGGAACTGATCTCCTTTCGTATCTTAAATCTTGCAGTTTTAAAAATTTAAGAAAGAGTTTATGGAAATAGCCTGTCATGCTTTTAACTATTCATTTCTTTTGGCACCTGTGCTGTAGGTACTATTGAAAGTGCTGAGCCTGATGATTTGGCAATACCTCAACCTGCTCAGCCTTGGGTGTGGCTTGTAGATCTGGAGAGAACTGCTGCACTACTTGTAGGCCGTTGTCTTGGTGGAATGCTACAGGGTCCACCTATGTCTTCTGAAGAACAAGATACAGTTCGTTGGCTAAAAACACCTCTCTTCAGCAATGGATTGGAACTGGATCTCCCCCAGCTAGGTAAAACTAATGATTTAGCATTTTGAGAGCGCAAGTCATGGCTCATTCAGAAACTGACAGAATAACACGGTATGCGAAATTGAGATTCTAAGCAAATTTGGAGGCTCTTAGGAGAAAATGGGGAGCATTAGCTGATGCAGTCAGCTCTCCAAAGCATAAGTTCAGGTCAGATAATCTAGAACAGATAATATTGTAACAAAGAAATACTGTATTGTTTTCATTCACTCATGGGATGTGAGCCAGCACTTATTCCTTCATTCCTAGTTGCCATGAGAAGGTTGTGGTGAGCTGACTTCATAAACCACTGCAGTCCATATATAGTGCTGTTGGGTTAGGGAAGGGAAGTTTTTAGAATGTTGACCTAGCAACTGACGGATCGATAAGATATTGCAAAATCAGGATGGCGAGTATCGTGGAGGGGAAGTTGCAGGTGACACTGTTCCAATATGTCTACTGCCCTTTTCTAGCTGGAACTGGTCATGGGTTTGGTAGGTGCTGTCTAAGCAGCCTTGCTGATTTTCTGCAATACATCTTGTGGATAGTACCCACTGTTGCTACTTAGTGTCAGTGGCAGAGTGACTCAATGTTTCTAGTTGGGATGCCAATTAAGTGGGCTGCATTGTCCTGGATGATGTCAAGCTTTTTGAGTGGTGGACCTGCATTTATCAAGGTAAGTGGGGAGTATTTCATCACACTCTAATGATTTAATTTCTATATTCATCCTATTCTTCATGTATTTCATCAATGACTGTCCCGCCGTCCGGTCAAAAGTAGGGATGTTCAGCCGCGTTTGTTTTTCCTCCAATACTGACGCAGCCCGTGTCCAAAAGCAGCAAGAATTAAGCAATATCCAGGCTTGGCCTGACAAGTGGCAAGTAACATTTGCGCCACACAAATGCCAGGCAATGACTGTCTCCAATAAGATATCTCCAGTAAGCATGTGCAGGCACAGCTTCAGATTGTTCTTGTGAAAGTAAACAAAAACTGTACAGATAACTGCAGTAGTTTTTATGATGAGGCAAATTAATTCTGATGACAAAGCGTTTGATGGTATTTGTGTGTATTATAATTTCACCCAATGTATTTAAAATATTTTCAAACCCTAAGTTCAAAGACCATTTAATGGATATATGGACAGTGAAAGAAAACTGTTTGTGATGCAGATAAATGCATGAGCTCTCTGCTGGAAGTTGCACTGTCTGGAAATGAAGAACAGAAACCTTTTGAATATAGCCTTGGTGCTGAGAATATTATGCTTGTTGATCTGGCTTTGGGCTCGACAAAAGAACCTGTCAACATTCTGTGGCTCAAAATGCAAGACTATGCTGTCAGCAAAGGTAGGTGGACCGGTTCACAACTAGAGCTATGTAAATTTTCTTTGTAATTTAAATGTGTATCTGACAGGCACTGGCGAGGAAAATAATAAAGTAATCAAGATGGAGACAATGCTGTGCAGTTCAAGGTGTGCCCAGAACATAGTGTAAAAAAGAAACCAAAAGAACTGCAGATGCTGAAAATCAGAATCAAAAGCAGAAATTAGTGAAAAAGCAGGTCTGGCAGCATCTGTGGAGAGAAATCGAGTTAATGTTTCACATCCGGTGACCCTTCCTCAGAAGAGTACTAAGGTACTGGAGCAAGCAAGCAAGGGGTAACGAGACACAGTGGGGTCAATGAGTGGTGAGCATTGGGTGGGAAGGGATAGGAGAATTGAAGGTGGAGTGAGGAATGGGGTGAAAAGGTATTGAGGGGTGGGGGGAAGTCTTAATGAGGTGTGGAAACAAGGAATAGTAAAGGACAATGGGGGCAAGGTGGCAAGGGGATTGCAAGGGATGGGGTTGATCAAGGGTTGGTTACAGAGTCAGAAAAATGCACATCAACCCATCGTGTTGGCATCACAAGAGCACATCTAAACACTCCTGACATATTGAGGGTTTTTGCCTCTATTGTCCAGTGAGGTGCAAAAGGGACAAGAGATGGTGAGGGTAAACAGAATAAAAGGGAAGTGAGGGTCAGGACATAAAAAGAGCAATGAGGGATAACAGGGCAAACAGAATTTGGAGTGGGGACAATGAAGGATAGTGGGGGACAAGGAGGATCAAGGATAGTTTGGATGGGGGAAAGGTGTAGGAATAGAATTTCAGAAGTTTATAGTTGACAATGAATTGAAACTCATTTGTGGAAAATAAAGGGATGCCGCAGTGTGTGGGTGAACGGAAGTAGACAAGTAGAGTCATGGAAGCATGGAAACAGATCCTTTTGGTCCAACTCCTACATGCCAAACAGATATCCTAAATTAATCTAATACCATTTGCCAGCATTTGGCCCATATCCCTCTAAACCCTTCCTATTCATATGCCCATCCAGACGCCTTTTAAATGTTTTAATTGTACCAGCCTCCTCCACTTCCTCTGGCAGCTCTGTGTGAAAAAGTTGCCCCTTAGGTCCCTTTTCAATGTTTCTCCTCTCACCTTAAACCTATGCTGTCTAGTTTTGGACTCCGTGACCGCAGGGAAAAGACCTTGGCTATTCAACGTATCCATGCCTGTCATGATTTTATACACGTCTAATATGTCACTCAGCCTCCGATGCTCTAGGCAAAGTAGCCCCAGCCTATTCAGTCTTGCCCCATAGCTCAAACCCTCCAACCCTGGCAGCATCCTTGTAAATCTTTTCTGAACCCTTTCAAGTTCCACAGCATCCTTTTTATAGCAGGGGGACCAGAATTGCATGCAGTATTCCAAAAGTGGCCTGACTAATATCGTGTACAGGTGCAACATGACCTCCCAATTCCTATAGTCAAAGCACTGACCAATAAAGGCAAGCATACCAAACGCCGCCTTCACTATCCTGTCTGTCTGCGACTCCATTTTCAAGGAACTATGAACCTGCACTCCAAGGCCTCTTTGCTTAGTAACACTCCCCAGATCCTTCCCATTAAATGTATAATTCCTGACCTGATTTGCCTTCCCAAAATGCAGCACATCACATTTATCGAAGTTAAACTCCAATTGCCACTCCTTGGCCTATTGACCTACCTGATAAAGGTCCTGCTGTACTCCTGAGGTAACCTTATTCACTGCATTACAACTCTAATTTTGGTGTCATCAGCAGACTTACTAACCATACCTCCTATGTTCACATCCAAATCATTTATATAAATGATGAAAAGCATTGAATCCAGCACCAATCCTTGTGACACACTGCTGGTTACAGGCCTCCAGTCTGAAAAGCAACACTCCACCACCCTTTGTCTTCCAGCTTCAAGCTAGTTCTGCATCCAGATGGCTAGTTCTCCCTGTATGCCATGTGATCTAACCTTTCTAACCAGTCTACCATGAGGAACTTTGTCGAATTAGAAGTGTGAGGTGATTCACTTTGGAAGGAGTATCAGGAATACAGAGTACTGGGCTAATGGTAAAATTCTTGGTAGTGTGGATGAGCAGAGAGATCTCGGTGTCCATGTGCATAGATCACTGAAAGTTGCCACCCAGGTTGATACGGTTGTTAAGAAGGCGTACGGTGTGTTAGGTTTTATTGGTAGAGGGATTGAGTTTCGAAGCCATGAGGTCATGTTGCAGCTATACAAAACTCTGGTGCGGCCGCACTTGGAGTATTGCGTACAGTTCTGGTCGCTGCATTATAGGAAGGATGTGGAAGCATTGGAAAGGGTGCAGAGGAGATTTACCAGGATGTTGCCTGGTATGGAGGGAAGGTCTTACAAGGAAAGGCTGAGGGACTTGAGGCTGTTTTTGTTAGAGAGAAGAAGGTTAAGAGGTGACTTAATAGAGACATACAAGATGATCAGAGGATTAGATAGGGTGGACAGTGGGAGCCTTTTTCCTCGGATGGTGATGGCTAGCACGAGGGGACATAGCTTTAAATTGAGGGGTGATAGATATAGGACAGATGTCAGAGGTAGGTTCTTTACTCAGAGAGTAGTAAGGACGTGGAATGCCCTGCCTGCAAAAGTAGTAGACTCGCCAACTTTAAGGGCACTTAAATGGTCATTGGATAAACATATGGATGATAAGGGAATAGTTTAGTTTAGATGGGCTTCAGATTGGTTTCACAGGTCGGCGCAACATCGAGGGCCGAAGGGCCTGTACTGCGCTGTAATGTTCTACGTTCTATGAATGCCTTACTGAAGTCCATATAGATCACGCCCACCTCTCTGCCCTTATCAATCCTCTTTGGTGGTACTTCAAAAAACTCGATCAAATTAGTGAGAGATGATTTCCTCCACATAAAGCCATGATGACTATCCCTAATCAGTCCTTGCCTTTGTAAATCCTGTCCCACAGGACTCCCTCCAACAACTTGCCCAATACCGATGTCAGGCTGACCGGTCTATAGTTCCCTGGCTTTTCTTTATCACCTTTCTTAAATAGTGGCACCACGTTATCTAACCTCCAGTCTTCCGGCACTTCATCTGTGGCTATCGATGATACAAATATCTTAGCAAGGGGCCCAGCAATCATTTCCCGAGCTTCCCACAGAGTTTTAGGGTACACCTGATCGGGTCCTGGGGATTTATCCAACTTCGTGTTTTCAGACGTCCAGCACCACCTCTGCTGTAATATGGATGTTTTTCAAGATGTCATTATTTATTTCCCCACATTCTCTATCTTCCATATCCTTCTCCACAATAAACACTGATGCAAAATTCTCGTTCAGTATCTCCTCCATTTCCTGCAGTTTCAACATAGGCAACTTTGCCCATCTTTATTGGGCCCTATTCTCTTCCGAGTTACGCTCTTGTCCTTAAGGTATTTGTGGAATCCATTTGGATTCTCCTTAACCCTATTTGCCAAAACTATCTCATGTCCCCTTTTTGACCTCCTGATTTCCCTCTGAAGTATACTCTAACCGCCTTTATACTGTTTGAAGGATTCGTTTGATCTCTGCTGTCTATACTTGGCATATGCTTCCTTCTTTTTCTTGACCTAAACCTCCAATTTCTCTAGTCATCCAGCATTCCCTTCACCCACCCGCCTTGCCCTTCACCCACCCAAACAGGAACATGCTGTTTCTAGACTCTCATTATCTCATTATTGAAGACTTCCCATTTTCCACCTGTCCCTTTATCTGCAAATATCTGCCCCCAATCAACTTTTGAAAGTTCCTCCCTAATACCGTCAAAAATTGCCTACCTCCGCTTAAGAGGTTTAACTTTTAAACCTGATCTATCCTTTCTCATCACTATTTTAAAACTAATAGAATTATGGTCACTGGCCCCAAAGTGCTCCCCCACTGACACCTCAGTCACCTGCCCAGTCTTATTTCCCAAGAGTAGGTCAAGTTTTGCAGCTTCTCTGGATGCATCCACATAGTGAATCAGAAAACTTTTTCTTGTCTGCACTTTACAAATTCCTCTGCATTCCAAGCCTTTAACACTATGGAAGTCCAGTCTATGTTTGGGAGGTTAAAATCCCCTACCGTAACCACCCTATTATTCTTACAGATAACTGAGATCTCCCTAGAAATTTGTTTCTCAATTTCCCACTGCCTATTGGGGAGGGGGGTGCGTCTATAGGACAATCCCAATAAGGTGATCATCCCTTTCTTATTTCTCAGTTCCACTGAAATAACTTGCCGGGACATATTCCCAGGAATATCCTCCCTAATTACAGCCGTAATGTTGTCCCTAACCCAAAAATGTCACTCCCCTTTCTCTCTTGCACCCCCGCCCCACATCTATCCTTCCTATACCCTTCAACATAAAGCTGCCAATCCTGTCCGTTCCTGAGCTACGTCTCTGTAATCCTTATAATATCCCAGATCCATGTTCCCAACCATGCCGAGTTCATCTGCCTTATCTGTTAGGCCCCTTGCATTGAAATAAGTGCCATTTAATGTATCAGTCCTAAGTGAAACGGGAGAAGGTTTCAGAGCTAGGGTAATTATAAAATCCCTACAGTGTGGAAGCAGGCCATTCAGCCCATCGAGTACACACCTACCCTCTGAGAGCATCCCACCCAGACCCACCCTATCCTTGCAGACCTGCATTTTCCATGGCTAATCCACCTAGCCTGCACATATCTGGACAGTATAAGGGCAATTTGGCATATCCAATTCACCTAATCTGCACATGTTTGGACTGTGGGAGAAAACCTGATCACCTGGAGGAAACCCACGCAGACACAGGGAGCATGTTCAAACTCCGCACAGATAGTTGCTCAAGGGTGGAATTGAACCCATGTCCCTGGCATTGTGAGGCAACAGTGCTAAGCACTGAGCCACCGTGCTGCGGAAAGGAATAGGTGTTGTCGAATTTGGACCAAGGTTTTGGATCCAGTCCTTGGGAAATATGCAATCATTAAAGTTTAACAGCTTTTAAGTAGTCATCTAGAGTATAAAAAACAAGATGCCAGTCAGAACTTGAGACTAGCATGTTTGACACAGGTGGCTGGAACACCAGTAATCAGAGAAAACTCATTCTGGTCTTGACCATCACCTGAAAATCCGCTACAAGTCCTGTAGCCTGACTTGGAATCATTGTCATTGGGTCACAATTCTGAATTCCCTTCCCAATAACACTGTGGTTGTCTCCACTGCAGTGGTTTAAAAAAGTAGCACACCTTCACCTCCTTGAGTATTTAGGAATGAACAATAAATGCTGGCTCAGACGGTGAAACCAGCATGCCATGAACAAATCAGAAAAGATAACAAGGTATGGACAGAAACATCAAGTTTTTTTTCAGGAAAGAAAATAGGTAGCCTTGTTTGGAGCTCAGTTTCAGTCACAAGGTTAGGTGGTTCTTAATCACAGAATCATGTAGTACACAAGAGGAAATTCAACCCACTGAGTGCACCAACCCTCCAAAGAGCATCCCACCCAGATCTAACTCCACCCTATCCCCCTAACCAGACATTTACCATGCTGATCCACCTAGACTGCACATCCCTGGGCACTACAGGGCAATTTAGCATGGCTGATCGCTCTGACCTGCACATCTTCGGACTGTGGGAGGAAGCTGGAGCACCCAGTGGAAACCCACACAGACACGGGGAGAATGTGCAAATGTCACACAGACTGTTACCCAAAGTTGGAATCAAACCGAGGTCGCTGTCAGGCAGCAGTGCTAACCACTGAGTCACCATGCTGCCCAACCTACAGCCTTTTAGCGTAATTATGCTCCATAGTTGACCCTGCAATAAAGTGGAATAGCTGTTTTCTGTTCTCCCAGGCCATGTCCTGTAATGTTATACTTTCTAATTGATGGAAGGGTCCAACACATGAGTGCAAAAGATAAGCCATCTTGGATGATCCATCAAGATGATCCACCGTGGCCTGGCATCAGTATAGCAAAACTGGAATCAATGGGAATTAGGGGAAAGTTCTCTGCTAGTTGGAGTCAGACCTTCACAGAAGCAGGAGATGGTTGTTAGAGGACAGTCATCTCAACTGCAGGAGATCTCTGAAGTTATCAGGGATCAAGTTATCTGACATTGCCTGTCATTTTAACTTATTCCTCTTTAACCTGCCCTCCTTCCCATTGTTTTGCTGTGGACAGCATCCTATGATGTGGTATTTGTTTGGAATGATTTCATTTATTTCTTCCAAAGGATATGGGTGTTACTGGCCATTTTCGGAGTCTATTAAGAGTCAACCATGTCACTTGGGTCTGTGACAAATGCAGGACAGACCTGGTAAGAGTGACATATTTTCTTCCCCGAAGAATGGTAGTGAATTGGATGAATTTTTGCCATCATTAATAGTTTCATGATCATCAATGTTGGCTGTACAGAACTCTTCTTGCTTCTTGACACTTCTATAGTATATTCCCCAAGTTTTATACAGTAACGTGAGGAGGCTATTAGTACAGTATATTGGCTGATTTAGATTTCAGTTTGATACCGAGCTGCTTTTCTACTTCTGTATAAGGTTGCAGTAATGTCTGATCTCAAGGAAGAGTCATTTTACTCAGAATGATAACTCTTTCTCGATTCACAGATGCTGCCAGACCTGAGTTTCTCCAGCATTTCATGATTTTGTTTCAGATTTCCAGCATCCACATCACGACTTACATTTGAAGGCTCGCTGGTGCGTACTGGTTATTATTTCAGAATGTTTTACTGACCTGGTTCTAAACCCATGTGTCACTAGTTTGAACATTAAACTCTGAAAAGAGGTATTTATATATAAATATATCATGGACTTGTCATCACAATGTTCACCACAGATAATAAACTTGGAGATTGTTCTGTTTCACAGCCATAACATACGCTGCCTTCAGCACTGAAAACAACCAAACTGTATGCATGTTTAGAGATAGTAGGAACTGCAGATGCTGGAGAATCCAAGACAACAAGGTGCAGGGCTGGATGAACACAGCAGGCCAAGCAGCATCATAGGAGCAGCTGCTTGGCCTGATGTATGCATGTTTAAATGTATTTTCTGCCATTATCTAATAAATACTTATGACCGCAAAATATATTTTCCAGATTGGGACAGTGCAATTCTTGGCAATGAGACCTTATTGGATACAGCTTCAAGATTTGTCCTTGCAGCTCTTTTAAAGCACACTGGTTTACTAAATCAAGTCTGTGGTGAAAGCAGGCAAGTGAAGAGTATTCCTTGTATGTATGTATGTATGTATGTATCTGTCTGGTCTGAAACTGAATTTGGTGGGTTTTTTTGGTCTAACTCTGTTAATGATCTTGGCAACATTACACAGATGTGCTAAATTTACCAGGCTTCTTCAAATAATACACTGTGACTGAGACAGGGGAATGATTTTAAACTATTTTTATGCAATCAGTTCATAACGGGGTTTGTACGCAGGCAAGACCAAGTGTGCTATTTAGGTCAAGCTGGACTGGCAGCCAGGAGAAAATTGAATGGGGAGAGGGGAGAAGGAAAGGGAAGGTATTGAGCAGGAACAGGGTGAAAGGGAAGAGAAAAGATAAACTTTGGACCTTTTGGAGTTGGAAGAGAGGAGATTGTTTTAATGCTGCATCTCTTTGGTCATGGGCTGACCTTGTATCTCAGTTGAGGAAGGGTCTTGCTTTCATTCTGTCAGAGACTATCCTAACACTTTCTCCAGGGAATCTTAATAAAGAGAGAGCAAATTGATTTCCATACTAGGGCACAAAGGTAGAAAAGAACCATGAGGCAAATGAGTTGTACTACTTGAACATTGTGGTCTTTATCATCTCTGTTGGCAGTGTGAGTAAATAAAATATAACTGTTGCAAATATTCAATAGATGTGAAAGTTTACTCAACATTTATTAAAGATGGCTGAATTTCTGGAGTTATTGGTGCCCTGGCTGAGGAAAAAAGGTTGAGTGTCAGAGATACTGACACTCTGGTGTCTGATTCTGTATGAGGCAGTACTATAGACAGGGACTATCATGTGTAAATAAAGGTGACTTGGTGACAGGATACTGACTTCTGGGGAGTTATTTCAATGGTGACGAGTAAAGCACGATCCTAAAGAAACTCGCAACAGTCGGGATAAGTATTTCTCACATCATGCCTTTGTTTCGGGAAGCACATGACTTGTTCTACCCTGCTGTCGAGGACTGTCCAGGCAAATGACCCCATTGTGGCAGATGTCAAACAATAAGTAGAAATAACACCGTGTGGAGCTGAGGAACACAGCAGGCCAGGCAGCATCAGAGGAGCAGGAAAGCTGGCGTTTCGGCTCGTGACCCTTCTTCAGAAATGGAGGAGGGGAAGGGGATGCTGAAATAAATGGGCGGGGGTGGAAATGCCGGTGGTGGGGATTGGTCAGTGAGGTGGGAGGAGCGGATAGGTGGGAGAGAAGATGGACAGGTCAAGGAGATGGGGATGAGAGCGGGGCTGGGGAGATTTTGAAACTGGGTTGTAGGCTCCCAAGGCAAAATATGAGGTGCTGCTCCTACAGTTTCTGGGTGACATCGTTGTGACACTGGAGGAGGCCCAGGATGGACATGTCGTCCAGGGAGTAGGAGGTGGAGTTGAAGTGGTTCGCGACTGGGAGGTGTTGTCGTTTGTCGCGAACCGAGAGTAGGTGCTCTACAAAGTGGTCTCCGAGCCTCCGCTTGGTCTCACCGATGTAGAGGAGGGCACATCGGGAACTGCGGATACAATGGACCATATTAGTGAATGTGCAGGTGAACCTCTGTCTGATGTGGAAGGTTTTTTTGGGGCCTGGGATAGAGGTGAGGGGGGAGGGGTAGGGGCAGTGTAGCACCTCCTGCGGTTGCAGGGAAAGTGGTGGGGTTAGTGGGGAGTGTGGAGCAGATGAGGGAGTCGTGGAGAGCGGTCCCTACGGAAGGCAGATAAGGGTGGGCAGGGAAATATATCCTTCGTAGTGGGGTCACCGTGCAGGTGGCGGAAGTGGTGGAGAATGATGCGTTGATTTCGGAGGTTGGTGGGGTGATATGGGAGGACGAGGGGAATTCTGTCTTTGTTGTTATTGCAGGGTGGGGGTGTGACGGCTGAGGTGTGGGAAACGCAAGAGATGCGGTCGAGGGCATTTTCGACCACTGAGGTGGGGAAGTTGCAGTCCTCGAAATACGAGGGAGTTGTTGGGCTTGAAATGGATATCCGTTTCGAGGCTGGAGTCAGAGATCCAGAAAGGAGACAGCGGTATCAGAGATGGTCCAGGTGAACTTGAGGTTGGGGTGGAAGGTGTTAGTCAAGTGGATGAACTGTTCGAGCTCCTTGTGGGAGCACTAGGCGGTGCCGATACAGTCATCGATGTAGCGGAAGAAGAGGTGGGGGATAGTGCCAGTGTAGCATGAGGAGCTCGAACAGTTCATCCACTTTACTAACATCTTCCACCCCAACCTTAAGTTCACCTGGACCATCTCTGATACTCTGTCTCCTTCCTGGACCCGTCTGTCGCCATCTCTGTCTCCAGCTTCTGCCATCTGCAATCTGACCCCACTACGAAGGATATATTTCCCCCCCCACCCTTATCTTTCTTCTGGAGGGACCGCTCTCTCCACGACTCCCTCGTCCGCTCCACATTCTCCACTGGCCCTACCACCCCCGGCACCTTTCCCTGCAACCGCAGGAGGTGCTACACCTGCCCCTACACCTCACCCCTCATCTCCATCCCAGGCCCCAAAAAAACCTTCCACATCAAACAGATGTTCACCTGCACATCTGCTAAAGTGGTCTATTGTATCCACTGTTCCCTCCTCTACGTCAGTGAGACCAAGCGGAGGCTCAGAGACCGTTTTGTAGAGCACCTACGCTCAGTTCACGACAAACGACAGCACCTCCCAGTTGCGAACCACTTCAACTCCCCCCTCCCTCTCCCTGGACGACATGTCCATCCTGGGCCGCCTCCAATGTCACTACGATGCCACCGGGAAACTGGAAGAACAGCACCTCATATTCCGCCTTGGAAGCCTTAAACCCAATGATCTCAATGTGGACTTTATAGTTTCAAAATCTCCCCAGTCCCGACCTCATCCCAAGACCAGTCCCCCCATCTCATCTCGCCTCATTGACCTGTCCATCTTCTCTCCCACCTATCCGCTCCTCCTACCTCACTGACCAATCCCACCACTACGTACCTGCTATCACCGCACCCCCCCTCCATTTATTTCAGAGCCCCCTTACCCTCCCCCATTTCTGAAGAAGGGTCCTGACCCGAAACGTCAGCTTTCCTGCATCTCTGATGCTGCCTGGCCTGCTGTGTTCATCCAGCTCCACACTGTTATCTGACTCCAGCATCGGCAGTTCTTACTATCCCTCCTTAAACAATAAGTAATTCTCCCGACAGTGTGTGGAGCTGCAGTTTTGTCATTAGCAACCAAACTTTCCCTGAGGCACCAGATTCCGAAATCTTTCAAGAATTGACTGACATAGTTAAATTACAACCCCAGATTGCCTCTAATTCTGAGACACTATCAGTTTTACTCGGCAATTCAAGAACCAGGGGAAACAGTATTGGGGTTTTTGACGAAATTAGGACAACTGGCTGAAGCCTGTGAATTTGGTTTAACCCTTAACGAGATGGTTATAGATTGTCCGGTGTGCGGGGTTTTCTGATGTAACCATGCAAAACACCTGCTAGCTGATCCCAACTGGATTTCAAAAGGTGCTACATTGGCTTTATCAACGGAAAATCCGGCAAGTGGAACATGTGACATGCAAGGTATTCCGATGGAAGTGGACACCCCTAGCCATTCCGACTGAGCTTGGGGAAAACAACTTGAGTGCAGAATTTGCATACCTCACTCAGGGCATATCCTGATCAGAAGAATTGTAGGCTCATAGCAAATCTTCAAATCAAAGCCAAGCCGTGGCCAAATGTTTAAACTTTTCTTCAGATTCTGGCTGGTAAGGCATTGTAATTGTCTCTGGTAAATGGAATTGAGACAGCAAATAGCTGCTACTAGACTTAAATTGAGTAAGAGAACACCTAGGCCAGTATCTAGCTCATAGTATGGAATGCCCACCTAATCTGGTTTGAAACCGTAAAATTGCTTAGCAACATCAAAATCGGAACCAAGTAAGGTAAATGTCTGGTCAAGTGGTTATCCAGTTCTAATGGAGGCCAATAGCAGTGCAGAACCAGTTTTTAATGAAACATGCCCTGCGCAACTTTGCATAAGACCTCAGCAGGCTGAGAACCTGTACCAGGGAACTTTTTCAAATCAAGGGAACAACTTTGGTTCTGGTCTCGAAGGAAAAGCAACTGGTTCAGTTACCAGTGATTGTAGTAAAAGGCTGGGGCCCAGTCTTAATGGGGCAGAATTGGTTGTGAGAGATTCACCTAGATTGGCTCAACATTTTTCAGTTAGAAAATGGCTGCCTGGCTGAAGTCCCAATTAAATACCCAGTAGTCTTCTTGGAAGGTCTAGGGACTATCAAGGAACTAGAGAGATCAGCTCACAGTAGAGGACAGCATATTGCTGTAGAAGTAAGAGTCACTGTTCCAAGCATAGATTGTTGTCAAATACTGGCTAAACTCCACCAGTGCCATCCAGGGGTCTCCAAAATGAAGATGTTGGGTAGAGGTTATGTCTGATGGCCAGGCCCAGATGCAGACATAATTGCATTGGGGAAGTGTCAACAAGGTCAAAAGTTGCTCTTAGCAGGTCCCCCACGTTTGTGGGAGTGGCCAGTTAAACCATGGATTCAGTTGCATGTTGACAGTGCAGGTCCTTTCATGGGTTCAATGTTTTTAGTCATTGTAGTAGCCTATGCAAAGTGGTTGGATGTACATAGAGTCCATTCATCTCACACTGGGGCAATATAGAAAAGCTGCACACATCTTTTGCAACACACGGAGTCCCAGAAGTGTTGGTCACAGATAATAGACCTTTATTTTTACCAGCAGGGAATTTGGTTAGAGTTCAATGGAATTCGACATGCAAGGCCAGCTCCATACCATCCATCATCCAATGGCCTGGTAGAAAGAGCGATTTGGGTTGAAGAAACCGCCTACATCCTCACAAGATGCCTAGCTGTCGATGTTCTTGTTGGTAATAGGACCACCCAACAAGCAACTATAGAGATAGCACTGACAGAGTTGCTAATGGGTAGAAGACTCTGGGCCAGGTTAAATCTGATCTTCCCAGACCTGGTTGGAGGCTGAAACAGCATCACGAACTCCAGTGCTGGACTCAAAACTCCGCCAAGTGCGAGAGACTGATACAGGGGATGAAGTATGGTGTTAGAATCATGGAAATGGCTCTACATGACTAAGAGACATGGTTGACGTAAAGCAGATATACAAAGTTTGGGTAGCTGCGACAGTCCTGAATAAGTATGCCAACCATATGAAAGCTGCGAATCCTCAAGCAGCAAGGAAGCAAAATGTGCCCTGCACTTCCGAACTGTTGAAAATACTGCCAGAACCTGTGGATTTACCCTTCCTGTCAAACGTTGTTGAGTCATCAATCAGAGATGGAGATGACCGAAATAGCTGTTTTGATACCTTTGTATCAAGAAGAAGAAAGTGAAATTCTACCAAGGCATTCCTATCTCAAGAGATGATCTCCTACACATTACAGGTCCTCCATGATGGATGCTGAATCAGAGGAACCCAACCTGGTGCCAAAGCGCTGTTGGAGGCTATCCAAGGGAAAGGACAAGCCTATGTCTGCAGACTCCGAGAGAAGGATGTAATAATTATAACAGTCAGCCAGCTGAACCTCCTAAGAATGAGTTCCCTGATTGGGGCTGTTAATCAGATCTAATTAGGGAGCTCTGGCTGTCAAAAAAAGGTTGTGTTAGAGATACTAACGTTTTGGTGCCTGACTCCATATGAGGCAGTAGGGTACTCAAGGGTGACCTGGTGATGGGATACCGGCCTGTCTAGAATTACTTCACTTGGGTCCTAGCTTGGACATCGACTCAGTTAAGAATAATCTCATCACATTTTTAAATTCAGGGCTTAATGGATGAACTTCTGATGTAAGCAGTGGTGTAACTGTAATCTTAGTAGTCGTATGTTTGTACTCTTCTAGAAAAGGTTGGAATCTTTGCAGTGCAGAGTGTGCGGTTTTGTAGCCTCACCATCATTTATAGATTGTTAATACTTTTAAACAACATGTAATTAAGCCACTCCACTTTACCTTATAAGAAGATGGGGTAAACCCTGTATCAGAACAGCTTCCTTTGGACATATTTAAAATATCAGTGGGCAGTGCAGTTCTCATGCTGTAAGCCTTCCTCAGGGACCAAGCTTTGTTAATTTTGCAAGGCTTTCTCCAGAATGCTTCAATATCGCAATGCATGTAGTAGATCAAAGAGCCCACAGACTTCAGTCAGGTGAGCTAGCTGTGTAATTTAACAAGTTATAACAAGACTAACAAAAAGATTGTCTTTGGCAAAGGAACAAACTAATTTCTTAAAAGTTGATTTCACTGTTGTTATGGACCAGGCCAGACCCCCTCAAAATATTTTAAGAAGGTAGACTAGACCCTAACTTTTACTTACTTTACAGGTAGATGTGAAGTGCATGCTCCAGATATGATGTGACTGGTCAAAAGACTCTGGACTGACCTATCCCCTTCCTAACTCCCTACCTACACTCACCTTTACTGGCTCCATCCCCGCCTCTTCGACCTGTTTGTTTCCTCTCCACCTATCCTCTCCTCTATCCCTCTTCTATCCGCCTCCCACTCTCTCCCTATTTATTTCAGAACCCCCTTCCCCTCCCCCTTTTCTGATGAAGTGTCTAGGCCCGAAACGTCTATTTTTCTTAAGCCTCTCTGCTCCTATGATGCTGCTTGGCCTGCTGTGTTCATCCAGCCCTGCACCTTGTTGTCTCGGATTCTCCAGCATCTGCAGTTCTTACTATCTCTGATTCAATTAAGAAAAACATGATTTATTTAAACACTATAGTTCAAAAACAAACAAAAGAAAGAGGAATTTAGAATAGATTAACCATTGGAAAACTTAACTGAATAATAGAAACGGCATCTATTGCTAATTAACTGTTCCCAATATAGTAACATCCCATAAACACACCCCTTAGTAAAAAAGGTAAATTCAGACATCTGTGTCTGAGTGCAGTTCTCCAACCTAGGAGGAAAAAACATTGAGAGATTTCAGAAAAAAGTAGCAGGTCGGAATCATTTACTGAAGATTCCAACTTTTCTGGGATCCCAAACTACTTCTGACTGCTGAAACTAAAAACAAATCTGGAAAGCCTGGTCTGAGAGAACTGACCACTCCTATTCAAGCTGCTTCCATTGTTCCAACTTATTTAAAAAAAAACCTAAAGGCTTCTTAAGTTGTTTGCTTAGACCATTTGCAGTAACCAGTTTGGGACCTCTGCCTTTACAACCTCTTTTGAAATAAATCCAGGACAAAATAACCTTTTTAAAGTGACAGCATTGTTACACTGTCTATCCCAAAAAGAGTATTGAGGAGATGTATAACTTGTGGTGCTGGTCATGTGTTCTGCCCTCAACTGGGGTAGCATCAGCTACACTTAGGGTTTGACCAAGTACAACATTAATTATCTGGATATTGTGACTTAAGTTGACTGGGCACTTGATGCAAGCTACTTGGGACTTGTGTTCGTCCATTTAGCAATGATCCTTGTCCTTCCAGACACAAGTGCAAATTGTTGTTATTGTTAAATCACCTTTTAGAGTAACAAAACATCCAAGTTGTTACCCAAACTGGAAGCACGGAAGTAGTATAAAGAAAGGCAACCAAGCACTAGGTTGCATTCTTTGGCGAATACTGAAGTAGGCTAGCCAAAGGCTATAATCATGAGTGGAGAGCAGAAATTGCAATGAACCAGAACCGAAGCATGGAAAGTGAAAGTTTGAACTGCAAGGTTGAAGAAGATTAGCCATGCTAAATTGCCCCTAGTGTTCAGGGATGGTTAGGTGCATTAGCCACAAGAAATACAGGATTACAGGGATAGGGTAGAGGTATACGTCCGAGTGGGATGATCTTCAGAGGGTCAGTGTGGACTTGTTGGGCCGAATGGCCTCTTCCCACATTGTGGGGATTCTGTGATGATTCAATGATTACAATGGTCTAAGAATACCTCAGAGCAAGATGGAACAGATTTTGCTTGGTGTACTTTGTTTCTTTAAAATTGTGCAATTCTGCCAGATCGTTGTGTAAATTTACTTCTGTAAATTTCCAGGTGGTTCTGGATAGTTTCATTGCTTTAAGTTGTTCAGATGGATTCAGAGCCCTGGCCATCCAAAGCTCTCAAATTCAGGCTTGTAGCAATCCCTTCTGTCGGCCATCCACAGTATTGGCATTTTCTGATGTAGATGTCTATCACAGTAACATTTGTAACATTATCCCTATTAAAGTAAATTGGCTGATGAGAGATTTCCCTGTTTTACTGACAACAGTTTGAGAAGCTCAACTACAAATAGTTAACAAGGAAGAGGCTTGTTGACATTATGCTTCACATGGCCCTGAATGAGATCTTCCTGCTCCAAATCAGATAGCAGCTACTAAATGCTGAAATCAGCTTTAATTAAGCAAGTTTGGGTTGCAACAGGAGACTGTTGGAATCTTTTTTTCTTGCGAAAGTCACGAACCTTTTCACAATTTATTTATCACCTGTTCCGAATAGAATATTTCATTCATCAGTATTTTCAAACCTGACATTTTTCAAACATATTTTTAGGTACCAGCCAAGTAAAACACTTGCAGAAATATATCGTTGTGTTTACAAAATTCGTAACAGACTGCTAGCATGCAAAAACCTGGAACTTATCCAGACCCAGTCACTTTCCAGTGAAAGGAGGGTAAGTTTATGAAATAACTTTTTAAAAATTTAAATAATTCAAATGCAACTGATTTAGATCATTTAAATATTGTTGACATGTTGCACTTAACTTGAGTGGAATGCAGTAATGTACTGTAAACCATGGATTATTGCTGCTTTTGCTGGAACTAACCTTACTGCCTGTCTCCGTGGGCAAGTATATTTGCAACACGATGTCGGACAGCTCTTACAATTTTAACACAAGAACCCAAATTTTAGTAAGGTGGACTTGGCAAGGTCAAAGGCTGGGATTGCTGTAGAAACTTGTGGCAGCATCTGCAGAGAGAAAGCAGAGTTAACGTTTCGAATCTGGTGACCATTCTTCAGAACAGGTTTTGTTTCAGATGCTTCGATTCTTTATTTTACTTTGGGATTGCTATTGTTTTCAGTGCCTAGGTTGATACTAGGTGGTTCATCTGGGTTCAGTTTTGCTCAAGATGAAAAGCCAAGGATGTAGCAAGTCTCTCTGTTATGCATAGTCCTCAAGTGAAAAATGATCCATTGTGCATATTTTTTGTTTGATTCTATCAATCTCTGCCTGTTCATGTTGTTAGTATTGAGGAAGAACTATTCAGCAATTTCATTAACATCACTTCTCTAGTTTTTAAATGGCCATTTTTTTCTTTTAGTCAGCCAGTTAAATGGTCTAAGAACATTTTCTAATGAAAAAATGAAGTATTGATTTCTAAAATAAATAATGCAAAGTACCATAAAGTACTGCTAAATAAAGTTTTACTTTACTTTACCTCCACTTTTTTTTTCAAGTTGTCAGAAAATCAAGACTCAACAGATGTTGATCTTCAGGAGCTTGCTTTCACACGTACCATTGATGAAGAAGCTGAAATGGAAGAGCAGGCATATAGAGATCGCGAAGATGAGCATCTGGAACAAGAGGAGGAAGAAAGGGAGCAAGAAGTCATGACTGCTGGGAGTAAGTAAATGTGACTAGAATTAATTTGTTTGAATAGGATTTGTGTACAACCCAAACAGCTGAACTGTCTGTCGTGTAGTCCTAGCAAATAATGTAGTGATTGCCCATTGATTCATTCATGTTGTACGAAGACTTTAATTAGGCCACTTTTGGAATATTGCATGCAGTTCTCCTCGCCATGTTGTAAGGAGAATGTGGAGGCTTTGGAGAGGATGCGAAACAGGTTTACTAGGCTGTTGTCAATAAATATGGAGCGCAAGACTTTGACTTTCCTGCTCCTTGGATACTGTCTGCCCCACTGTGCATTTCTGGCTTCGCGTTTATTGACTGTAGCTTCCAGCATCTGCAGTCCTTGCTGCCTTCAAGATGCTTTACCATGATGTTGCCTGGGTTGGAGACTTTAGGTATAAGGAGAGGTTGGATAAACTTGTATTGTTTTCAAGAGCATCAGAGGCTGAGGTGGTGATTGAGAGGCATAGATACGGTAAATAGTCAGAGTACTTGTCCCAGGCTGGAAATGTCACATACCAGGGGACATAAGTTTAAAGTGAGAGGAGATAAGTTTATGGGAGATGTGCGAGGAAAGTTTTTTACGCAGAGGGTGGTAGGTGCTCGGAGCATGTTGCTGAGGGAGGTGATAGAAGCAGAAATGATAAAAACGTTTAAGAGGCTTTGAGACAGGCAAATGAAAAGCAAGGAATAAAGGGATGTGGACCATGTGCAGGCAGATAGGATTAGTTTAGAATGGCGTCATGGTCAGCTGAAGGATCTGTTCCTGTGTTGTACTGTTCTATATTCTGTCTGGGACTATTAGCAATTTACAAATGTCAAACGAAATTGTCTGCATAAAACTATCAGCAGCTGTTATCAATGGTAATCTCCAAACAAGCAGCAACAAACCTGGAGGTGATACCTAACGACTTTTTGGATTTAAGTTTTTGTTAGGCCTATAACTAATTAGTACATTTAACCAGATGAACATTAAAGATAGCTGTAATATTCTTCATTTGGTGTAAACTGTTGTTGGTCCTAATTAGTGCAAATGATTTTCACATTTGGAGGTTGTACTATTGATTTGTTGTGCAAGAATCCCAAACAACCCTGCTAAGCTTTGCCTTGCATTCTTGAAATAGATACATCTTCTCTACCTTGTGGGCTCAATTGTTTCCTCAATCTTTTGCTAAAATCCTATGTCATATTCTCTTTTTGAGGATTGTATCAAGGTATGCCAATTTCTCAAGCAGGTAAGCTGTTAATATTGTGAAGTAGCCAAGAAATCTTGTGGATGCCGCATTTAGTCAGATGGGGAGAAAATGCCATAAAAGGGATTTAACCTTTTATATTTTTCTTCAGAATTAAAATCGGCCATTACAGTCAGGCAATTGGAAGAATATGTCTATTTAAAGAATTTAAAACAACTCTTCATCGTAATTATTTTAAACCATTTTTAATGTTTCTTCGTAGTTAGAAATTTTTTTCCATGTTTTTACAAGAATCACGATGAGATTTTCTGCTGCTAAATGACAGACTATTTTGAGCATGGTACATTATTAGTTCGCCTATTGTATAACATACTGCTTGCTTTAGGAAAAGAATGAAAACTAAATCTAAGGCAATGCATTCCAAATCCGGACAACTGTTTGAGTAGAGGAGTTGCTAGGATTTAGAATGTGTTGTTTTGGAGAGTGGTGGAAGTGGATTCCATAGGACATTTCAAAAGACAGCTAGATAGGCAGACCAAAGACAGCCACCCAGGTGGATAGAGTTGTTAAGAAGGCATATGGTGTGTTAGCTTTCATTAATAGAGGGATTGAGTTCAAGAGTCATGAAGTTATGCTCCAGCTATACAAAAGCCTGGTTCGGCCACATCTGGAGTATTGTGTCCAGTTCCGGTCGCCTCATTACAGGAAAGATGTGGAAGCGTTGGAAAAGGTGCAGAGGAGATTTACCAGGATGTTGCCTGGAATGGAAGGAAGGTCATACGAGGAAAGATTGGGAGAGCTAGGGCTTTTCTCTTTAGAACGACGAAGGATGAGTGGTGATTTGATAGAGGTGTACAAAATGATCAGAGGTATAGATAGAGTGGACAGCCAGAGACTTTTTCCTAGGATGGAGGTAGCTATTACGAGGGGACATAGTTTTAAAGTGAGTGGAGGTAGATATAGGGGAGATGTCAGAGGTAGGTTCTTTATTCAGAAAGTGGTAGGGGCGTGGAATGCATTGCCGGAGAGGGTAGTGGAGTCAGCCTCATTGGGGCATTTAAGCGGCTGTTAGATAGGCATATGGATGATAGTATAAGATAGGGGTGGAGGTTAGATAAACTAAGGTTTATCTAATTTATCTAAGGATCAAGGATAGGGGGAGCATAGATTTAAGGTAATGGATGGGAGGTTTGGAGGAGATGTTAGAAAACTTTCCTTCACCTCGATGGTGATGGAATCTGGAGTTCACTGCCTGCAAGGGTAATAGAGGTGAAACGCTCATAACATTGAAGAAGTATTTAATGCGCACTTGCAATGATAATTCATAAAGGCGTTGGGCCAACTGAAGGAAAATGGAAATGGAAGAGTTAGATGCTTTTTTTTTGTTGCGGGTACAAACT